ATTATTTATTTATTTATTTATTTATTTATATTATATAAATACTAAACAGTTATTATAAGTATAAGAAGTATTTCACTCATTTCTTTTTGTACAGAAAACAATTTGTTTTAATTTCTATCGTCATTTCTATCTAATCGTTAAACTAAATTTATGTTATCTATAATTCATAGAACGGTCGTTTTGAGACTAGACGCAAGAACGGGATTACTAGATTATCATTGGAGCAGCAGGTTTGGATGAAAAGATTGTTTTGGTTTTATGTCGCTGTATGTAAAGAAACATAGAAATGTACGTTGTTGATGAATGATGCAAGCTTTCTGTTGTTTACATGTCTATCGTGGGTTATTTTGGGTTAGAACGACACTGTACAAAAAGTGATAAGCTCCTTGATAGTCGAACGTCTTTGGTTATAGCATTTAACTCTCATGTAATGGACAACATTCACCATTTACTTGTATGTAGGTAGGAATATGCGCAAATACAAGGGAAGCATCGGTTCCATTGCTGAATGATTCGATAACTGCAATGTGTCTACAATTGCATTACACGTCATTATGGTAAGAGAATAGTTCACTCACACGTTTTCGTATCTGATTATTCACCCTTCACATTACGAACAAACTGTAAAAGCAATTTGCAAGAAAATTACACCGTGAAAGTTTAGCATTGGCAAAAGAAAACACATGAATCCAAATTTTAAAATGATTATATTTCAAGATATAACACTGTCATTCTCCACGCAAAATAAAGAGGCATAAGGGCAAATGTAAGAGAAAGGTCTGAAAAAATGTAAACAAAAATGTTCGCAAAAGACCTTCACGAAGTGTCTGTTTTAATTAATCAAATATGTCAAGTTCCGCGTCCATGACACGTAATATTGGTCTCAATCGTGGGGCACCCAATCATTTTGCAACCACGATCTGAGAAATGAGTAAATGTTCGTTGACTGGATGACAAGATAGGTGTTAAGATTTAACAAGCAGCTGCGATATCTTGGAACAAACTTTAAACAAAAATCAGACAACATCAGTATCAGTATCAGTTTGTTTCTTAGTCGAGACTGCGTCATTTGCATTTCTTCTAGTCTGTTGCGGCAATAGCTTGTAAGTTTCTTTTGATTTTATATTAATCAGTGTTCAGAATCGAATCGATTTCCGATAACACATAAAAAGATAATAGCTGTCAATATAGTAGTACAGTATCAAGCTATCAAGAACGTCGTTTTGAAAACAAACAAACAAACAAGACAAAGAAACTAATTATGTTCCATAATGCTACTCAAATACAGCGTTGGGGAGGCGGTTCTTACCTCGTGTATATCATTGTTACATTTAGCTTCCTAGATATAATTGAAATTATGTATGTATGCATGTATGCGATGTTGTTATTTGAAACACATGAACAGAACTTCAAGGGTATTGTCGAATAACGCACACTTGAGCGGATGTCATTATTTCACCTGTATAGACACCAGCCGCAACATTATTTATCTCGTTTTCTAATTTAGACTCATATGTTAAATGATGCATATTTTAAAATCCTTCAAAATCGAGGCCCAACGTGTCATTTTAATATTTATTATTTAGGCCCATTGACGTAGTCTATCTTTAGTGTTTGTCCAACTTTTTCATCAACAACCTATTCTGCCCCAACCCTATCATTTAAAACATATTCCGAGTCCCATCCAACCCTATCATCAAAACATATTTCAAGCATCTGTTCAAACTTCTCACCTACGACGCATTTTGAATCCTTGTCCATCCATCTCACTAACAACGATTTCTAGCCGTGTCCAACCCTCTTACCAACGACGTATTTCTAGCCCAACTATCTCAAACACAATGACCCATCCCTACTGTGGAAAAGTGTACCACTTATACATACACGACTAAATCAATATAACGGGTGGTACGGCCCATGTAATTGCATTAATAGCCAGTAATGACAACAATGCTAATGTGTCTCATACTGAATACGTCATATACGACACAGAATAAGTGCGGTAAACGCAATGGTGTGTGTGTGTGGAGACGCGTGAATATAGTGATGAAATAACCTACCTTGCAAAGTGTTGCAAAACACACACATGAAATGCCCGAACGGCCAACTGTGCATTAAATGCCCAACCAGATACGTCCACTCTACAAAAGTAGCGACGAACAGGTCTGAGATTGCAAGGTTCACGATGTAGTAATTAGTAGAATTCCATAATTTCTTGTTTCTCAACACGATGATTATGATTATGACATTTCCAACTAGAGTTGCTAGGCTGGACAACGTGATTAATGTAATCTTAGTGATGACTATTGCCAGCGGTCCGTTTGAATAGCCGGGATATGGATTGAAGTCCTCTGTCGAATTTGTATGAGTTGACGAAGTGATGTTCGACGAATTCATGTTGGTGTAGTTAAATGTCTACTCCGATCACACAACTCTATGCTTCTCGTACGAGTGTCCACAGCTATGTTATGTGTATGTACACCACACCGCACCACACACAACGAACGCAGCAATTGACTGTATGAAACGTGCTCGCGATCGGATCTCACTAACAGTACAATTCCAACTCCCGGTATCAGTGTCGGTGGCGCTCGTGCTGCTGGACTTGTACTAGTTGACGACGACGTGGCTGAGTTGAAATGCGGCAGCTCAGCGGTTCATGTGATTTATAAAACTGCATCAGAGGGCGGGTTGCCTGCGGGCGCCCTTCCAATGCTCATGTATCACGGTCCTGAGAATCTGATTGGACATGACAGTTTATGACGTAGTAGCCTGATGATGGAATCGTCGCCACCCGTAAACAGTACTTAACTCACGTGGTACTTGAAAACAAGGGACTAAGGTATTTCTATGTTCAGACGTTGTCAAGAACCAGTAGCACTTATATGGCGATATACAGATATGAGCTGATTCGCTGTAGCATTATATGAATACATCTAATATTGAGTTATTACTCTCATAAAATATCATATATGGGGGCGGCGTACATTAGTGTGCAGCATTCATAATGTTTTTCCAAGACACTGCAATCAGTCTAAGGGACACTGTGTTTGGCGAAATCAGATTAAAACAGCTAACCAATTTAAGCGGATATTGATTTCCCGTTTATTTAAACTATGATGTTACATAATATACATGCTACCCTTCACATTCCTCTCACTGAGAAACATATTTCTCAATCGATGAGGAATACTGTGTAATTACTTGTCTTTTTTCTGCAATTCTTCGCATTGGTTGAAAGTATCAAATTTTACAAATATCACACACTCTTAATTCGTAAGCTACGTTTGAAATTAAAAATACTAAGGTATCAGTTAAGTTTAATTGCCACACATGGAGCAGCGCAGAGCCGATGACTTGATGAAACTAGATGAAATCAGAACGTGGTAATGAAGGTGTGCAGTGGACGTTGTTGAGAGGAGTAATCGTTGGTTCAATTATTATCACATAGTATTTGTGACGAGTAAACGTGTTTGAATGATCTGAGTGAGAGTGAGGTGTTGGTGTATTACTGTGCACGTATTGTTCTCAGATACGTGGATGTTGAGAACACGGCAAATTAGGTATTGCTAAACAGAAGTGTTAGTAGTTGCAGGTATATCGTTGCTATTGATGACAAGGTGTGGCCATTAAAAGCAAGTCTCGTTTGAGGTAGCTGCAAACCGAAGTGTGCTTTTCAAGACGACGATTCGTTAGTAACTCGGGTAGTTCTATATTCAGCAATTAGGACGTTAATTTAGTAATAAATAGGAATACTAGAATAGGTGTTGTTCTTTGTGTCAATATCAATTAATAAGTAACACTGGTAAGTGTGTTCGACGTTTAGATTCAATGTAGTGATGTAATGATGGGTCTAGCATTTTGTGGAAGCTTTTCAAGTGTGTAGTATATGCATAAATATGAAAGCCGTTTGTAGTTCAGCGGTGTCAAGTTTGAATATGTTCTATATCTGATTTATTGAAAATCCACCTATATATATATATATATATATAGTGTAGATACGAAAGTCGATTATTCCAAAACAAAACGTACCAGCGAAACGTACGTCGAACTTACTGGTAATGAATTCAAAACAAGATACAGAAACCACACGGCCTCATTTCGCAATCAGGCCTCCAGAAATGCGACAGAAATAAGTAAACACGTCTGGTCACTCAAAGAAAAAAATATTGAATATAAAATACAATGGAAAATTCTTGCTCGCGGTAGCCCGTATAATAATAGCTCCAGCAAACGATGCATTTTATGTTTGAAGGAAAAAAATTATCATAATTTTTAGACCCCACCACTCCACACTAAACAAAAGAAATGAACTCGTGTCATCATGCCGACACAGATCAAAAGCTCTAATATGTAACAATTAAACTTTTTATTTAATTTTAATTAATGTGTTAATTTGCAAAGCTTATAATGTATGCACTTTGGTGCAGCGAGTTATTAAACATAAAGCTTCTGATGAGTGAGGTACTTGTACCTTACGAAACAGTGCTGTCGAGTTTCAATATTCACGAGTTGTGCATAAATTCCTCTATCACCGTATATATATATATATATATATATATATATATATATATATATATATATATATATATATATATATATATATATATATATATATA